ACCCGCATACAGTAACTAACCTGATACCCTAATTGTTATCCCAACTTATCCACCAAAACCGTATTGTTGCTTATCTCGCATAACCTTAAAATATTTACATTGCATAATCGCCATTATTAAACCAACCCTTAATAATTGATCAAATCATCCCCGATTTGGTCTGATAGCCTAGTTGACTGATCCCATCCACATATCTTGTGACTTTTAACACGTGCCTATATCCGAACGAACGATATTTATAACCCTCCACGTTTACTGTTGGAGCTAAATCGACCATTTTATAGCCTACGCTCTCCCAAACAACAGTAACAATACTCATAAATCGAAAAGTCGCACATCGCAAATCATCTATGACTCTATGTGACTGCTTGTGTGACAAAATAATTTTCACACATAGGAAATCGATCTACTGGCATTTCGAATTTTTTCCCTATCTGAATATCATTTATTTATGAGTTTATTTCCTCCCGGCTACAGGCTATTCCTATTAGATTTCGATTCGAGTATATTTATATAACGTTATTGGGTCTTTATTAATGAGCAGTCGAGTGAGCTAGCGGATAAAAAAAAAATCTATATGCATATTCCCAAACGTCTTATTGCAACAATATATTTAAAAGGGCAGTATGGCAAAAGTTAGTGAAATTTACTTTTGCTTAGCAACCTTTACACTAACATTTAACTTTTTATTCTACGTATCAAAACATGGAAGAATTTCTTTTAACGAAAGAACCTCTTGATATTGTCAGGATTTCTACAGCATTATTTGTACGAGTAGAGCAAGGTGAATGGACAGGCGTTCTTGAAAAGGAGGTGGAGAATTTTGAAACCATTTTGGAGAATGTTTTAGAGCGAGTCCCCTCGGAGGATGTTGAACGGATAAAAAAGCTTCGAAGTTTTGGTACTGGAAAAAAATTGGCGAAACGGGTAATGCGATAAACTATTTTCATGATGAATGTGTGGATATGATGTATTTTTAGGTTTTCTTGTATATATATATATTAGTGAATGCGCTGTGTCCGTCGTGATGCTATCACTTCCGCATGGCAGTAACTAGTTATATATATATACCCAGCAAGCGCGCTTTTTGGCTGACTTACTGCTAGCATTTTGATTTTTTTATGAAAACGAAAACCTAATCTGATCCCGCGTAGGGGTATTCAATTTAGTTTATCAAATAACATTAAACCTAAGTTAAGTTAACTATATTTAGGTAACAACTGCGTTCGAAGATTTATGCTCTCTTACAGAAATGAAAGCTCTGGTGATTGACGCTGAAACATGGCCTGATGATGCGAATGCAAATTTAGAGCTTTTAATACGTAATGTTAATCAACTCAAAAATAAGAGTGTTGGCTATGAAAAAACTATGTGGGAAAGAATTGAAGTAGAATTAGAGGAAGTTGATGTCGAAAGTCTCGGATTTGACCATCCTATATGTTCTGGAGTTCTTGATGCTAAATCTAAACCTTTCACAGAGATGCCTTTATCACTTTGCGATGTTTTCAGGGAACCTTTCCAGAAATATAAGTTAGATCGTAATGATTTCATTGTGGAGGCTTGTATAGAGTCTATTCGCAATGAGGAGTCGAAGATAAATTTGGATGAAGACTTGCGTGATGTCGAATTTGGAAGATGGTTAGATGAACCTGAAAAGCTTCGAGAAATGACAAAACGAATACTAGAAACTTTGTAAGTTTGTTATTTTTCTGTTAGTTTCACAAGATTTCGCTAGGTTCTTATCTGATGTGATAATCTATGTAGGTTTAAAGTTTGGAAATCACCTAAGTATGAAGCCTTTATAAAGAAAGGAAAACCAGTTAATGAAGGATCATATGTCTGTGAAGTACTTGCGCCATTACTAAACATAGTAATGAGTGATTTACCCGGAAATCCTGCCATATGGGATATATGGTAAGCATTACCCCCACTATTGGCTATAAAATCTTTTCGCTTATATCGCTTAATTCTTTTTTTTTCAAATAGGGGTGAAGAGGGGAGTTTAGCTAGCACTATACGAAAAGGATCTCGTAAGTTTGCACGGAAACCTGATTATATGGCTGTAGTGCAACTAAAAAAAGGCGCGGAGCTTGAAATTGTGTACCTCGAAACTGGCAGGCCAAATTCCAGTCAAGACAAGCGCCAGCGAGACTATAAAAAATTAATACGATTTTCTAAAGATTCTATCGACACTACTAGAAAAATATCAAAGCTTAAAAGGGTATTTAATCTTTCATCTAAGAGGAAGATATTATCAATATTCGCTATCAACATTGCAGGTAATCCAACATATTTTTTTACTTCATATTTCGCTCTTATACCCCAATTGATAATGTTTAACTACATTGTTTTCGAACATTTCAGGTGATGTTATGTCATGCGTAGAGAATCGGGTATTTACAAATACTGCTTAATAGAGGAAGCACCGATTCCACTACATAAGACTTCACCGAATGCCATATACCCGCTTATCCATGCTTTGATGACATTAAGAACGGCTGTCACATGTACAATTCATAAAATATTACATAATTCTGATTCCGGAGATAGTGAATATAGTTCTGGCGAAATGACAGTAACAGCTTCAACCCCTAAAAATTCATAAATTAGAATTCGACTTCATGTATACAATTTATACTAAATTATATTATTAATAAAGCAAGTTTACCGAATAATAAAAAATTTTCTTGCCATTGGCGTGAAGAATCTGATCGATCGATTCTATTTATTAACTTGCTTACTTTTTTTCTTTTCGTAGCATTTTTTTCGCTGACGGGCGTCAGTGAAATTTCAGTTGTAATTAAACTTTTAAATATATTCACATATTGTATAAAACAATGGAAAACACTCAAGCCACAATAGATTCGTTAAGAGAATTGAATTTCAAGCTCTCAGCTCAGATTGCTGAACTTAGAAAGGAGAATACCGAGATCAAGGCTGAGAATGCAAAATTTAAACAAGCTATAGAAGAGAATGCGGAGCTCAAGACCAGATTCGGGGAGTTAGAGAAGAAAAATAAAACAGATACCGCTAACCTCATGGCAGAGAATGCCGAACTCAAAACCAGGGTCGCAAAATTAGAACAGTCACAAAACAATACTACGTACGGGTTGGCATCTGACAATTCTTTCAATACTCGTCCATCCAATCCTAAATCACTGGAAGACAAAGAGAACGACGAATTCCTAGAATCAAAGAATAAGGAAAAGGTTAGTAATGAAATGAAGCAGAGGAATAGGGAAAAGAAGCTTAAACGTGAATCCGCTAAAAATAAAACCCAGGATCTATCTTTAGTCAATCAGTGCGAAGCGCCTTGCATGATTAATAGTTCATCGGTAAAAGAAGACATTGTTCATGATGTGTTTGATTTCACTATTACTTCATCCAAGCAGGGTTCAGAATCTCATGAGAATCGATCCGAGAACATGAGCTCACCACCACAAAATAAATCTGAAAAAAATCATACGACGGAAATTTTGCTGACGCCCGTCAGTGAAAATCATGTATCCGGAAATAATGATAAGAAAGATTCTATAACTATACTTTCGGTATCAAGAAGTAAAACCTTACTAAATTTAGCCATCTTATACCGGAAAGCTTGTGTTGCGGAAAAACAAGCAATAAAGGCCAATCAAGATGAAATTTTATGCTGGTACCATTACATAATTGAGTTCTATAATCAAATTAAAAACATTATGAAAAACGAGCAGGTTGGTGAGAAAAAAGCGAAAGGACAAATATATGATTTTATTATTACACAACTTGGTACTAAACGTAATACATTACAAAAGCAAACTCAAAGGGCAAGAAAAATCTACCAATTATTCGAAACAATAGGAATTGATAAAGTTAAATATATCAAAACGTATAGTGCAAATTCGATTTCAGAATTGTCTGATAGTCAAATTCAAATTATTATTGATTATTTCTCCATGAATCCTAATATAGAATTTACCGATGATAATCGAGATAAGGGTAAGTGTATCAACGATTCTTCAGCTGATTTACCAGAAACTAAAGTAAGCATACCTACTAAATCTCAGCGTGAATGTACTGGCTCACACCAAACCTCTAATTCATCTAGTTCGAAAGTGAAGGCAAGTATATCTACCGAATCTCAGATATCTGATTATTCTTCTGATTCGGCACGAGCCAGTATGACAGTGCCGAAAAAATTACCAGATATAACTCTAGAAGAATCATTAGAAACCAAGGTAAGTATACCAAAACAGAATAATTCAACTTGTGATCGTGTTTATTTTCGTAATAAGATATTGTGGAGTTATTCTGATCTATATAAAGAATTTAGTAGTGAAAAATTTGATTATTATGGAATTCATGAGGGGTCCTTATGTCTAGTATGCAAGCACAGCCACGAGGAAGGAAAAAGTATAAAGAGTAGATACGAATCTGGATCTTATTTTATTAAATGTGGAAAACATGAAATCGAGATAACAGCATAAATTATAAAGTCATACTGCCTTAAATTCTCCGGTTTCAAATGATCGTAAATATTAACTATGTTTATTTTTTTAGCACCTCTGGTACTTGCTCCACTAATTACTATTTCGGGATATGCACAGTGTCAGCACGTAAGTATCCTTGTTGTATAAGACACAACTCATACTTAATTTGAATTTGCGAATATATAAAACAATAACATGGATAAAGCCTATTTCGGAGAAATGACACTTTGTGCCTTAACCCCTGAATATTTGAACTGGCATGCTAAATTGGTTAATTCACCGAGTCATTTGTCAGATAAAATTTGGTTGAGCTTATATAGAGCATATATGGAAGAGACTGGACTCGATCCTTGGATAAAGTCTAAAACTCCCAAATCCCCACAAATCGAAAAGGATGCTGAAAAAAAGACATTATTTGTATCACAGATAAATGTTCTACCTACACTATCCAAACTTTGACCATCAATTTCTATTCTACCTAAAGACCTCGAAGAAAGGCAATAACATGTTATTGAAATGGTATTAGAATGATTTCCTTATTTAACTTTGAAACATAGTTTTAAATATAGTAATTATTTTGATTTTAATAGATCTGTACTCTGTCCTTTATGCAATAAAAACTATAAAAAGGAAAATATAAGAAATCATATAGAGGGTATTTGGGGTAGTGGCGAATATGTCAATACAAAAACTTATCGTCTTACATGTTGGGGGAATAAATATCAGAATTCAATCCAAATAGTAACCATAAAGACATAGGTTAATAAGGTAACTGAGTGTGGACTCTATTATTTCCACTAATTAATAATCGCAAATTGCATTGCAGGCCCAAAGGGGCGACCCTAAAGGGTCAAAATCATATAAAAATAAAAAATGGCGAGCCCATGAGGCCCCCTCTTTATTTTATAAAAAAAATGTTGCCGGGACAACAATACAAATAAAAAAAATGTTGCCAGGATAACAATACAAATAAAAAAAATTCTGATCATAGTAGTGGCTCTACGAGTACATGAATAATATTTTGTTTGGGATTCCCAGAAAAATGGTCATAGATCCTGCCATTTTGATGCATATTTCTATAATTACCCAGTTTGCTATTATAACTACGAAGCCGATAACGAAAATTTGTCGATCCGAGTGGTAAGAGAGATAAGCTAGCTTGAACTTGGTCCATTAATTTATTAACACCATTTCTATTAAAAATCTTAATTTTAAAAAAATAATATGGCAAGCCCATAAATATATATTCATGTAAGATAATACAATTAAGATAAATATCAACATAGTCATTATCCTTAGAGGTTTCAGGATCATTAGTCTTGGGGGTGGTGCTGTCATTAGTGCTAATTTTTCTTTTCTAAAAACAAAAAATTGAAGTAAGGAAAAATTTATTTTCATAGTCGCCGTTAAACAAAATGACATTACTTTAAAAATAAATTATGATCAGGTAAAAAAATTATATATGAGCAAAAAATATTATAACCCACCCAACAAGGAACAAAAAATCGCTTATTTTATACCATTCATTCGCTAGATCTAAAAACCCGCTAAAAAAATTACACGATTAGTAACTTATGTGTAAATAACAAAATAAAGCAGAATAAAGAAACTCCGTTCGGTTATAAGTTCTAAATACTGATCTTTTTTGATATTTTTTAGGTAAATTAAACCCCCTTAGATTCAATGATCGGCACTATGAAATGAAAAAGTCAACGATCTCACCGATCTGAGAATTCAAAATCCCTGTAACATATGAATTTTAACAAAACTACTGATAAAGAACGTTATACTCATTACTCTTATAGTATTTTTAAGTTCCATTCGCACTTTTTCTTATCGTAGAATCGTATATAATAGGAAAAGCCTTTCCAGAAATTCATAATATTTGTTATAAATCAAAAATTTACTGTGAGAAATGATTATGCAGGAAAGTGACACAAACTGTATACTTAATTTCGTACGACTTATAATACCATTTACTTTAATTGTATCTTATACAGTAATGTTAATAAATTTTTTTTTTACGTACAATGATTCTTACGTATTAAAAGTCATCAACTACTGTTAAGCCACTGTCTCCTGAAAGGAGGATGCTTCGCATCTGAAGTGCTGTTGAAGTACTGTTGGAATACGTAGGCGAAATATCAAATGTTTATTGTGTTTATTAAGTTTCGAATATTCAGTAATATTCAGTCTAAAAATTGTGATCGAATTTTTGTGTATAAATCATATGTTAATCGAACTTCCAATATTAAATATGTAGAACATCGAAAATTCGAAAAAATTATTGCGGATGTACAAATATTTATAGCTTGTTAAATAAACCGCCCCTCGAAAACAAACATAACATTGTCTAAAAAAGGATAGCTATTATCATTATGCGGTAGAAAAAATTGAATCGGGTTATTTCTAATTTTACTATAATATGTCGTTAATTACTAACGCTAACGCTAATCTAATCAATCTAACTATTTCTGTATAAGGCTCTTAATTTTTATTCTTTTCTAGTAACTTTTCACACAGGACAAAGGTTATTTTATTTAACAAAGAAACTATACTTATCGCTTATAACTTTATTTAATTCAAGTATGGTGTTATTTTTAAACGCATAGCGATAGGTGGGATATATCTTATTTAGGCCGATAATAATAAGCAATAGCGATACACGGTATTATCTTACCTCATATATACGCCTCATACATTTTTGTAGGTCATATCCTTTTTTTGATTATATTCTGCAGTCTTATACTAAAAAAAAATACACAATTTATTTTTAAACTGGAATTCTATACTTTGATTCCTTTAGGAATACATATATACATAAGTATCTTATTTTGGAATCGTCCTAAAATTTTTGTTGTATATAGGAATATATAATTGATTTTTTATATATACTTACTCCCATAATCTCAAATTTAATCAAACGCTTATCGGAAATAACAAAACACCAGTTCCTTCTCTATTTTATTCTGCAAAATAATTACCATTCTTCTTGAGTAGGATATCGGCTCTGGGGTTCTAAACCCTAATGGCTCATCGAATAGTATTGTTTTGCCCATCTGTTAGTAAATATTTTCTGCTTCTATAAATACCAGTAAAAAGAATGTCATGCCATAGTCGCTATAATAAAAAACGTAGGCTGGAGAAGGAACCAAGCTCAACTTTGCCAGTAGCCCATAATATGCCCACACCATCGTCTATAAATAATGTTCTTTTTGACCCGAACCGGGTATATACTTTTAACTCATTATATACCGCTAGTGTTTAGTCTTTGTGTTGATAGAACAATTACCTAAGTTATTTGTACGTGTATACTTAGTCATGCAAAAAATTGTTGCAATAGCAACTAGGGCCTCTGACTAACGTATGTTGTGAGACTCAACGGGCTCATAATCACCATTAGGTGGCTCAGTACTTAGATAAGGGTGTTTTGTTTAGTCCACAAAAATAACCTATACACTGCTTATTTTTTTATTCATTTCTTCATAATCTAACAATCTTTTGGTAACATTATTAGCATCACACCCAGCAAGCAACCTGTGGACTATGCATCAAGGATAAAATACATTATATTGAAAAGGAGTAGATGAATGTCCCCCTCTGTCCTTCTGACCGCGTATTGACCAAAAATATCAAGGCCCTGCATGAAATCTCCACGATAGACCTGTTGCTCAAGACCCTTATCTGTGAAGCAAAAATAAATAATAATAATAATACCTCTGAGTCATTTGAAATACCCACCGACTTTCTTGTAATAGTAAATAAAGATATTATTAATCTTAATAATTTGTATAATAAAGATACTTGCGAGTCTAACCTTTCTAAATCAGAAAAGCATGTGTGGATTGCATTAGGAAAATGGCTTGGGTTTGAGAGAAAAATTAAAAGAAGAGAAGTAAGGCAACATCTCCGATTGAGGTGGCAAAAACTAAAGCATGCTTTGCATCTTCATAGTAATGAGGAATCGTCTGTACTAACAACTCCACGTATTACAAAAAAGAAAAAAATCATATACTTATGTCGGTACGTAATTTAAAAACCATTGAAGGATTAGTTGGGTTTTGTTATATAATAAATCCAAAGTGTGTTGTAAATAAAAATGACCAGACTTTGCTCCACCTAAATTTAATTGAGAATTTAGATGCTATAAATAAAGCGACTGAGGCTATTGATTATTATTATTTTCATACATTAGCTCATCCATCTCATCGAAGCGAAAGTTTTTGGAAAAATTTTATTGAACATTTTGGTGTGTTCACGTTGAATAACCTCCTCCCCTATGTAAGTTCGAATACCGCGAGTAGCCACAATATAGAGCATTTGAAATGTGTTAATAAATTACTGAGTGACCTTGTCCCTTTGTCGAACTGTATTAATCAATTTTTTCAAAAATATTATGGAAACCTGTATGAAAAATTAAGTATGTTAAGA